AGATTTTGACAATTTATAGGATATAATAAAAATTTTTGTTATACATATATATATTATATCATAGATAAATTTTTATCGTATCTTAAGTGGCAAGATCTACAATTTCTTCTCTACTTTCCCTATATTTTTTTAAATGTTCTATATATATTTTAAGTACGGAAGGATGTAAAGTTGATCCGGAACAAACCCTCGATAACATCACAGATTCACGGCACTTAAGATGTAGTGGCAGCGCAAGGATACGATTATTTCAGTCGAATTCCCGTGGGCCGGTACTACTCTCGAATTGTTATAAATAAAACCGAAAAGACTCCTCGTGGTGGAAGGCACGGTGAAGAAGGAAAACATGGGCGATATCAATCGCAGGGATTGGCTGCCACGGAGGAAACGATCCGAGCGAAACTTTCGATCAGAACTGAACTTTATTATTTCGAGAGGCGATATTTCTTCGTCCGCTTTTCGTAGACGCACTATCACAATGATGTTGCGAAATTTCACTGCGATTCTTTCCGCAATAAATTTTCCGATTTACTCAATCGATTTCACTTAATTTCATGGTAATTTGTTAATCTATCAAAATCCTATAAGAGAAGAAGTAAATCTAATTTCTTCCTATATATGTATATATATATATATATATATATATATATTGTATATATATACTATTTCACTCTGTTGTCTCACTCTATAATTTTAATTAAAGTTATATACTGAAACAGTATAAAAGTTAAAATGAATGTATTATTAATTAAAGTATCTTAATTAAAGAATTACAGAATGAAACAGTATAAGTAAAGTAAGATAGTATATTGTATAATATAATTATATACACAGGGAGAAATTATATGTGGCCAATTTGATAAGTCAGCTATTTTTTAAAAGATAGTTATTTTGAAAAAATGTGTCGAATTTTGATAAAAATTAGATTAAAAAGAAGAACACGTTAAAAAGAGTCACTAACTTATCAACTTTGTCCTCTTATATATCTTTCTCTCTCATAGGATTTTGTCAAAATCTGATAAAGTGCCTCTAAGTTAATTACACATCCTTCGGATTTTTTTCAGGAAAAGCAATCGAAAGGAAGGACAGCTGATTCTTGCAGTCTACACTATCGAAATCGACATGGCAAGGCAACAGACAGTGGATCGAAACATCCCTCACCTGCGGGATATTTTTGGCTTCGGCAGCAAATGGGACAATGCTCGTGGACAAGCTGAGGAGAAGGCACCCGGCCACGATAGCGCCGTGTCAGTGGGCTCTACATCCGGGGAGGAGGAGAGTCCGAAGAACAGCAAGAAAAAGAAGTCGCGTCGCCGCGATAACAGCAAGACGCTGACGGAGAGCGACGTGAAACACCTGGAACGGCATCTCTCTATGAAGAAGACCATACGCAAAAAGATCATGCGTGACCTGCAGCAGGCCTTCGTCGAAGATCCGAACGAGTTTCGTGTGGACGACATACCGCCAGAGCAACTCAAGGCAGAGATCAATATCCAGAGCCTGAGCTTCGGCACGCCGTCTCAGAAGCAGGGACGCACGCGTGGCAATGCTGAAAGCACGTTCCTCGACATGCTGCGTGGTGGTGGTAAGAAATCGTCTGTTATTTTATTAAAGTTCATTCTTTAACACCTTTTTATTCCTTTTGACGATTATATCTTTAACGATATTCATATTTTGACCATGAAAAGTCAATTATCTAATAATTGTATCAAGATATAACAGTTTTCAAAATATAATAAGATAGAAGATAATTTATTTTAACTCTAATCGGTATTCGCTCCAAAATTTCTTTAACTTTTCGTGGATTTAGTATACTTTAAATTAATTTATTTTTGTTTAAAGCTAATATAATTGAATTTCTTATTTTGGAAGTCAAAATTCAAGTAATGAGATAATAACTTAAAATTATCTAAGATTGTGGAAAATTATAAACAGTTTTTTACAACATAGTTGAAGAAAATGTTCGGGTCCATTGGGCTCGTAAATATCAATTAATTTAATATATCTCCATAAAATTTCAAAACAAATATTTTCGTATTTAAACGTAAAAAATACTCTTTGAAACTTTTAAAATGAATCTCATAAAGAGTTAAATCTCACTCTTAAAGATTGAAAATTCAGCCACTCTTTTTCAAGACTGATTCAATTTTCACTCTTTAGAATGAGATTCCAGAGAATTTAGAGAATATTTATGGATTCCACTTTGGACTTTTGCTTTGAATTTTTATATAAAATTTTTATATAATTTTTATGTATCTTTCAGGTTTGGAGAAAAATGGGACGGATGGTGACAGAGATTCAGGACACGGTGGCTCGCCGACCAGAGAGGCGTCCAGTGCCCAGGATACGGATGATGAGTCCAGCTATGCATACGAGACGCCCACCGCGCCCACGAAAAAGAGCAGCAACTTCTGGAGACGCTTTACCATGAAAAATCGCAATAAACGATAAATCCGCAGCAGGAACCCCAGCGCGAAGAGAGAGAGTACCGATACTTTATATTCTCCGTCATCTCGATAATTTTTACCAGCGTATTTAACGAGGCAGAGCTTGCAACTGTGATATACATAAAACATAAAACCAATCATCTTCACCTCTCCCTCTCCCCCAAGACGATCCATCCGTCGAATTTTAAGAGGTTCCCGAAATTCGATCCGCGTACAAGACCGAGGACCAAGTGATTTAATGTACAAATTTCGGACCAACATTTTTATTTGCTACGACATATCATCGGACATATTAATTACAGGCCTTAAAAGACCAGACAATATATCTTTTTTAAATTAAAAAATAAGGAAAATTCAGGATAAGAATTCGATTCAATAAGAATTCAATAAATGTGAAAAAAACGTACGATTTTTTATTTTGACAAAAACTGTTATTTTATATTCGAAATTTAATTCCTCGTAGCTCAATTTCAGTAAGTATTTAGATTAGCAGATATTGGAACGATGAAATAATTCGCACCCCTACAGTACAAAGTTGCACAAAAATTGCGGCAATACTGCTGCAACATTACATGTTGCAACAATATTGTAGAGATTTTGCAGCGATATTGCTGCAAATTCTGTGCTGTATGGCTTCACTTTATTTGAAATTATTATTTGAAATGATATGGACTCACAAACTTGGAAAAGAAAGAAAAACGAGGGAATAGCTAGGACAAGCTATTTGTTCTCTCTTGTCTGAACAATTTCGCTGTACATATATACTTTTTTTGAAATATCGGAGGAACTTCTTAAAACTTTCCGACCTAAAATGTAACGATCGATGTGCTCGATAATGTAATTCCCATCTTCTGACGCGTACTTAAAGGCAATGTAAAAAATAAAAACGGAGCAAAATATGAATACGTATATAGTGTTAGGGTAGTTAGTTTAATTTCTCTTAATGTAAGAATGCGGCACAGTTATGGGATCTGTAATAAGCGTAAAAGAGGTGCGTATAATGTGCGCACCGGTTAGTATTAGCTAGTCAACGATGCTAAGACCCGGTCGATTTTCTTATTGACAAAATTTGATGTCGCTTCTTTATAATGAACTCAAAAATGAAATAATTTTTTAACTACTTTTACTACCAGTTCACGGAAATTCACAGCCTTAAGGCTTCTCACCTGAGGAACGCATATATATGCATGTAAGGAACTTACTGGATTATGTCGTTTAAGTGTGACACATCGCATTTTTTTTTCACTCTAATTTAAGCTATGTTGATGTTTACCGAAATCCTGTTGTTCCTACCATTTTTCGAGATATCTCACTAGTATTATAAATAACGTCATTCAAACGACGTTGATAACGATTCACGTATTCTCATCTAATCTCTACTTTCTACTATAGTAATAATAATATAATAATTATTATTCCTTTTAATATTAACTGCAACGCTATATATTAGCTTTAAATGTATTATACTCGAGATCCATCTTGTGTAAGAGCAGAAATATACTCGAATAAAAACTCTCATTTGGATGTTGCGCTTGTTCTTGCATTAATTAATTATCATTTTATGCAAAAGTTTATTGCAGCATAAATGTGTATATGTCGTAACAAATATAACAGATAATATCTTATGTCTAATCTCTTAATTAATGAACATTAAATGAATATTTTCTCTTTTTTTTACAAAGTTTCCTCAATTCTTGATAGAAAGATCTATCAATCAGTTAAAAGGCAAAACATGACAGGGGTTACAAAAATGCAATATAAAAATATTTAAAAAAATATTCGATACTTGTGTCCCTTTCCTTTTGTAGATATGGATAACTTAAATCTATTGATTTGTATATCTGGGCGAACGTTTCTCCAGGAAAGCTGCCATTCCTTCTTTTCTGTCCGCCTAAAAGAAAGGAAATTTTAACTTATTAATAAATCTATTTTTTCCTCAAGATAATCACATTATTGATAATCACAAAAGGATTTCTCACCAGAGAGAAAGTGCTGTAAAACAATCTTTGTTCAAACAGAAGTCCCTGTTGCAATGTGGTTTCGTATGCTAAAATTAATAAATCATAATTAGATACGTTACGAACTATTGGATTACATTGAGAATTACTTAAATAATTTTTTATATATTCTTTTTACCAGCATTAACAGCTTCTTTGGCTATCGCGACAATCAACTGTGAGTGAGATGCGATTTTTTCGCCCAGTTTCACTGCTTCTTCGACGACTTTGTCAGCTGGAAGTACTTTGCTGACTAGACCTAAATAAGATTTTTAAAAAATTAAATTTTTTTTAATACACTAAACATTTTATAAAAAATATAAGTAACAGAATATTAAAATTGAAATTAATACAAAATTATTAAAAATAATTTAACATAGAAATTCAAATATATAAAAACAATTTTCAAATAGAATTTATATTTAAATTAATGAAGTAACTTAAATTCCTTCCGGTTGCAGCGTTACTCTGATTTTTGTTAATGCAAACTTACCGCTTTTCTCAGCTTCTTCTGCGGAAATCATATTACCAGTGAGTATCATTTCCATAGCTTTACTTTTGCCGATGACCCTGGTTAATCTCTGAGTGCCGCCTGCTCCGGGAATGGTGCCGATGGCAATTTCTGGTTGGGCGAATTTGGCTTTATCACCGGCGTAAATAATATCGCACATCATTGCTAGTTCATTTCCTCCACCCAACTATGAAAAACGAGAGTACATGTTATTGAATTATTCTTTGTTTTCAGCATCTGTCGAAAACAATTGAAGGTACTACTTACAGCGTAACCATTTACAGCAGCAATTATGGGCTTTCTGCTTTTAGCAACTACATTCCAGTCAGCTATAAAGTTTAACTTCAAATTCGATGCGTACGAATTATCCTTCATTTCCTTGATGTCGGCTCCTATGAGAATACAATTAATATATTTTTTTATATTATAATATATAAAGACAATAAAAGGGGACCAATATCCCGAATTTAATTTTCTGAAGAATATATTTAAAGAGTATGTAAAATAAAGTCCGTGTAATTTTACCAGCAGCGAATGCCTTTTCACTTCCGGTAAGGACGATAGCGGCGATAGACGAATCCAAATTGAAATGTTCCAAAGCTTGACTTATTTCGTTCATTAATTGATCACACAAAGCATTTAAAGCTTTTGGCCTGTTTAAAGTAATAACGCCTACATTTTTCTTTTCACCTGCAGTCTCAAGTTTGAGGAACTCATAATTGCCAGTTTGAGCTGTAAATCACATCAGAGCAGGGTTTATTTAAAAAATAAAAAGATATTTCTTTATTTAAAAAATTAAAAAATGCTTTTTATTAAACAATAAGAAAAATAAAAGAATTTTTTTAAAGAATAATTAGTTCGTAATCAGTTCCTAAAATGATGACATAAAAAGCAAACAAGATTATTTTGCATTGAGATTATAAAAAAAAATCAGAATGTATCATTTCTGTAATGACTGTAAAATATACAATTTATTCAGGTACAGTAAGTAATAACAAAATTTTTGCTAATAAAAAAAACTAATTATTACATTAATGTAAAATTGCAGCCGAAACATATAATTGTTATTGGAGTTATAATACGCTTTTAATGATTCACATATTTGTTGTGTATAATTAATGCCCAACTAAAAAAGGATATTAATAATTATATTCAAATAATAATACACTCTGGAACGAAAAAATAAAATCTTTTTCTAGTATATTATTTGTAACGTACTATATATTTTGATAGAATTAACGTTAATAATGCGCGATGTGTTTGATGTTTTTTTTTTTCAAAAATAATAATTTTTATTTATATATATCAGATATTTTAGTTTTTTATGCTCAACGTTTTAAGTTCACAAATGTAAAATTAATTCGGTTCAACTTCCTATTTATCTTTTTCTAGTTCTTAGTGGAAGCGAGCCTTACTTTAACTTTCTATGTATATTATGTAATCAAGAACGATCATCAACATGAAGATAACCACAAGAATACATTAGACAATGAATAACAAAGTCTGTTTCATGTACAAGGTGTCTCAAAAAGAATGAAGGTTCTTTTAATTTATTAGTTAATTTAAAGATAATCTTGTTTTTAATCAATCAAACATTGTTAATGAATAATTTTATCAGAAAATTTTTTTATTATTTGTCACATCACTTTAACATAAATTGTATTTTATTTCTTCTCGAAATAAATAAATATTATTAAATACATAAATTATAAATTCTGAAAAATATCAAAAATACTTTGCACGCTTGAGTTATATTCATGCGTTCAAAGGAAAACAATGAAACGGCGTGTTTTCTGCTTATTTAATCTCGATGAACTCTTTTATAAACATAAAAATCGCCTTATTACACAAGATATCTAATTTTAAAGTCGTAATTTGAAAATCAAAACAAGATTACAAAAGTATAAATAATACAAAAGTGTTATACATAAGTAAAAAATTTATAAAATTTATATTAAATTATATTAAATTTATCTTTTTTCTTCATATATAAATATGTGCCCCCGAGATAACTCGTGATTTTTTTTAAAAAGCAATATAATAAACATCTTTCATGTATAGTTATATTATCATTACTAATACACATAAATCTGACAAATAATTAAATTTCTTCTTAAAACCGTGATATTGCGAATCGCAAGTCATACGCATATAAATATATGTATAATAATGTTACAAAAAATAATTATGAGGAAATTATTTATTCATGTTACGTATATAATTATAGATTTTTAATACTCGCAGTGAATAACGGCACTCAGGCACTTAATGCGTGATCGAATTTAATATCAGTATATAAATATATTTTTTTCGTAGCCTCAGAAACAAGTTTTGTAACGTAGTTTTGCAACGATTATATCGGGTGTTCCCTACGGAACCGGCGTTCTCGACGTTACGACTAGCTGCCCGGCTGGCGATAACCGATGATCCGACGGAAAAGGGATCTGTGTTCCCAGTATATATGATACTTACAGGAATAATATCTGAAAACAGGCACGGCGAATTGCTGCGATTTTCGGGCTGCGTGTGACACGCGAGAGAATAAAATCTGCGACACACGACTGACAGACATGTTGACAAGTTAAGTATCCGTGAATAAATGTAAATTACGACTCAAGTTCGTAGACCAGCTGATAATATCAATCCTGCCAACTGTCAGCGAAAATATCACTGGGTTCTTGTACTTTCAACTAAGGCTAGAAATATAATGTAACGTTCGAATTACCCGCGTTTTAGTGTCCGAACAGTTAAATTCGAGAATTTGTATTCAAATCGTAGGAAAACTAATGGCAAAACAATATGCTAATTTTTCCTTTTTTATTAAAATTATATGTAACATTTATATCTATCGTGTATATACTTAGGAAATATATTATACCTAATATATATATCAGCGTAATGATATATATTTATTGATAATTGTATATAATTATTGTTAATAATTAAAATATCAGAAGAACATAAACAGCAATGAAACTGCAATAATTAAAATTTCAAAAATTTTCTCAAATTCCAAGAAGTTTCCTGCTTTTTAAGATTTTTTTTTGTATTTCCATATAAGACAATATTCTACAAAAAGTATAGATCTTTTTATATTTAAAATAAATTTTTATTTAAAAAATGAAATATGACAATTTATCACATTTGTAACTATTCTTAAAAATAAAAATCAATAAAAATAATAACTTCTCGAGTAATTTCTAGATTTTATTATATAATTGCAGAAAAAAACCATCTTATTTTCTTGTCAAATCTATGCGATAAATTATTTAATACAAAAATAATTTGCATTAGTAATTAAAATATGAGGATAAGATTCATTCATTAATAATTTCGAAAATTTCTCAAATTCCTCATATTTCAAAGATTTTTTATATTTCCATATAAGAAATATCTACAAAGTACAGAATTAAAAAAAAATATTTTTATAATTAAAATAGATTTTTATAAGGTGAAATATAAGAATTTTACGTCATATGTAATTATTCTTGACGACAGAAGACCTGATAAAAAATAATTCCTGTTGTATAACCGCAGAAAAAAGCGGCGTTTCTTGTAAATCAATATTAAATTAATACATAAATAATTTGCGTGAGATTACAAAAACGAACGGCGCTTGAGCCTGCAGTTCCGAATCAACGAGCCGCGACAATGATCGATGATCCATGCGATGACTATGACAAAGAAAAAAGAAAGAAAAAGTGAAAAAGATGATCATCTCATCACGCGGTGAAAGTATCCGATTCGGATACGAATTAAAGTGGGGAAGAGAGGGAATTAAAGTGGGGAGGAAAGAAAGTCACCCCGACAAGGTAACGGTAGACGACATGTTGGCACCTTGGCATTGAGCGAACTTGAGTTTATCGCCAGTTCACGGTCGTTCGTCCACGCTTACAGTTCCCACAGGACCATGCGTACGATTCTTCTTCTCACATTCTTAGCAAACACTAAGCTGATGAGTAATGCAGGTGAGATAGATTGCGACTTCGCTGTGATCCATTAGTCTGAGATGATAAGGGAGTTTTTATCGAAAAACGAGACATTAAATCATCAAATAAAATTCTGTGTTTTTTAAATAATTTTGATTATAATACACTGAAAACAAATCTTAATTTTAAAGAAATATTTTTTTGTTCATAATAAAAAAAATTATTTCTTTGGATCAATAAAAATAATTTCTTTGAAAGTACAATATCTTATTTTCAAAGAAATTTTCATTGATCCAAAGAAATGACTTTTTTGAATACGAGCAAAGAGATATTTCTTTGTAAGATTTTTTTTCAGTGTAATAAATATTAAAAATTTGTTCTCTCATTAAAAATGTCATTTGAATTTTTATAAACTGATGATTTTTTTTCAAATTAAAAAATGTACGTAATCATGAATCTATTATAATGACATAATAAATAATATCAACACTTTAAAAAATATAGACATATGGATTTAACACTATTATATAATTTTAATATTAACACCAACAGTGAGAATATATAGGCATAGTGTTAAATCCATACCCATATTTTTTTTAGAATAAAATAATAAATACTTATTCAAATATATATTTAAGGAATTGTACTTAAGAACACAGACTGTGTTCTTCATTTTCTTTCCATCTAAAATTATTTCCTTCCCAAGTTTCTTCTTTCCATTTAAAATTATTTCTTTCCCAAGTTTTCAGAAATAGAATAAATCGCTGTTGCACTTTCGTTTCCAACTTTTATTAAACTTTATTTCAATTTACTCCGTTTTAAATTACTTTATAGTGAAATTACTTAGTTTAAAATTATTTTACATTAAACAACTGACAACTTATAAAAGATCGAGAATAAAGTCTAAAACTAGTTATCAATTACAGAAGAGATCTGGCAGCAAGATCTGTCTAAAGACATGCAGATAGGTGCATCCACCGATGGCTACGATCGCGTGGGGTTGCGATGCGGCGCTGAAAGAATGACTGTCGAACTTAAAACTACAGAGGACTTCTCAGGGGTAATCTACACGCAGGGTAACTTTTATTCTCGAGAACCGTCCTGTTTCCTTGATCCAGTTCGCGGTAGAAGCTTCACCATGAGCATCCCTTTGAATAAATGTGACACTGAAAAGGTACGTTATTTAAACTTTTGTTTGTCCTATTAATTTCTTCTTCTCGAAACTATTATTTATTAGCTTTATGAGCAAAACAAATTATTTAAGTAGAAAGAAAACGTGATTCTCTCTTTCTTCCGAAACCTTTCATTTTCTTTTAAATTATATCTTTCTAAAGAGTGACAAGCTACCATACAATTTTTTTACAATTTTCTAAATCGTGACATTTTCTTGATCATCAATCATTATACATTATAAACGACATAATGACGAAATATCATAGCTGGTAAAAGAAAGTATAACTTGTACATCACATTTTCAAATATAAATTATCTTGTGATATTTTTTAATTTCTACAATTTCTCTCATATTTTTACTTGTTAATCTAAATAAATAATAAAACAGGAAATTCAACTTTTATGAAGGATTTTTTAAAATTGTTTCTTTTAATGTTTTATAATTCTTTAACAGTATATATTACAATTACTTTCTATCTCTATTACGAGAAATTATTCGCAAGATAGATTAGAGAGCTTTAATCACCATTTAATGTATTATTTAAAATAACTTACGATTTAAGATCAATTATGGATTATTTATACCATTCAAAATTTTCTGTACATTTTTTTGTTTCGTTGAAAGAATGGTGACAAATACAGCAACATCGTAGTGATTCAGCACGACGACGAGCTATTAACACCAGGTGACGCCGCTTTTACGTTAGAATGTGACTTCTCGAGACCGCGTGATCTTACGGTATCGGCGGATCTTAATGGGAGTAAGAAGAGGTAATTGCTGTTTCGTCATTAATTCAACTTACTTTCGATATAAATGGTGATTGATGCGCTTTTTCAATTATTCATAAGCTTAATGGAGATGCTGCTGAGATTGATTTTCTTTACGTATGCGTGAAACGAAAATTGAAAAGAAAATTGGCAATTATTACGATGCGTGAAACGAAAAGAAAATTGGCAATATCCTTTGTTAAACATTAATTTGTGAAGACACAAATTTTCACGTCTACTAAAGATCTTAAGTAAAGAACTTTGATCCTCTTGAACATAGATACTATTTCTTCTGTAAAATATATAAATTAATTAAAAATAAACTGTTGCCCTCTATTTTCATCACGTAAAATTATTCTTCCAAAATTAAATAATGTTCAGTAATTTCAATATTAAATTTAAATTAAAAAGTTAATGTTTTTATAAAGAAAAATTAATATCAGCTTAGTTATAGAATACTTTCACGAAATATTATAGAATATTTTCACGAAATACAATGCAAATTTTATGTAATATATTTCAGCAATAATACACTTTTATTTATTAGATCGACTAAATCGAGTATAGCTCTCATTGATGCCGATCCGGGAAGTGACAGAAGAAAGAGGTCGGCGTACGTGGAAAGCTATGAGGACGAGGTTGTTTTCGTGCCGAAGCAAGTATATCGTAAGGCAAACGACGAATTGTGAGATACAGTGTGTGCTAGCTTAATAAAGGAACTGAATAAACATTGTGTATTTATTTGCTGGTCGCTTCTCGAAAACATTCACGGAATTCTCAATGAGTAGAATATCTAAAATCACACACAAGACAATTTTAAGGTATCTTAAAGTTGTTTCTTATGTGTCAATTTTAAGCATTCTACTCATTGAGTTATGTCGAGCGACAATACACAGATCTTCATTTGAAAAATCCTATCGTTTTTTGATTAAAGAGTGACAGTTATATTGTAAATTAAATTGTAGCTCGAGTTTTTCGCTGGCACAATCGGTGGTGTTGTCTCACAAAACTCTCTTTGATATTAGACATGTTTATAGCAAATGCAATCGTAGAGATCAAGAGATGCAATTAATATATTTCGGATTGGATAAATTGTAATTGATTAAATATATTTAATTGATTTCAGAATGAGAAGAAAGTCAGAGGTGCCGTTTTATTATAAATCTTACACCGATCGACGAACATTCTCGATTAATGAAAACACGATGCATTCTACGTGAATTTGTTATTGTTGCTTGTTATTTAATTTACATTGTTTAAATAAATTATGTAATTCGTTCGAGCGGATTTCTCATTGCTATGTGATACATCTTAATTTAATCTGCAGCGGCAGAATGTATACATCTTACGCGCGACATTTTTTGCAATCTATTTTTATTCCAAAGATACATATATAATGCGATAATTTCGTCGATAATCCCTTGTCCCTTCTATGATATTGCATAATAGAAATTTTCAAGTTTTGACATATTAACTATGCAGTAAACAATTTTGACAGCTATTTCAGACCATTTTAAAAGTCGCTAGAAAACTAGAAATCGTCTAATTGTTATGACACAGTTTTTGCGATAGAAATTATAATATGGACAAATGCATAATTGCAGCGATAACAAGTCCTCCGATCATTACATATATTATAGGTCATCGTGATAAAGATTTAAGAAATGAAAGGATATCGCATGATGATTATGTAAAAATGTGAACAAACATAATTGCAAAATCTAATGGCTATATCGCGCAACTATGTATAAACCACTCATAAACAAGTAAACGTTATGCTCGACCTATTAGAATGATCAACGTATTGAATATTATTATATATTATTTTAATAGCGTTTTCTCTTGGGATATACACTGGATGCAGCCTCGCACCGCATCAGTTGCGTGTAAGCGCTACACTCAGCTATACTAGACAAGAGTGGTGTACATTACATCATTATTACGCTAAAATTCTGTTCCCGCTTGACTTCTATTTTCAAATTTTAGATATCACACTGGCTCTACACTGTTCCTTTGAGACGGTGTAGCATAAAATTTGCACCGTAGGAAACACGGTACACCGAATGAATTCGCTTGCTACCAGCCATGGAAACATGTCTGGTACACTGTCTGAATGATGCACTAGTGGACGATAGTGCAGCCAAGAGAAAACACTATAATGCGCGTTGTTTGGTTTCCACTAAGGTAAATTAACATTAATCTCGGTTCAATTTACTCTGCGTCTTTTTCTAGTTCTAAAGATTAGAAAAAGACAAATTTAAACTTAATCTACGTTGGTGGAAATGGGTATAAGTCTTCTCTGTCGCCGCTTGAATCTTCTCCCATTCTATTCTTCGTTTTTAAACGAGTGTATCGCAATGTTGAATTTCTCTCATTGTGGCTCGTGAATAAATTTAATGAGTAAAACTTTCTGGAAGCATCTCTTGCTGCCAAGTGTCTATGTGTTTATGTAACGCTTTTGTAGCAACAAAGCACGTTAATAATTAATTAGTAGAAATCATAGATTTTAAGACAACACGCCGGTTTAACTGTTTCGAGGAACAATTAAATAAAAATACTTTAAATTCAAACTTATATTTTTAATGCATTTATCAGACTTATCTTTAATACATTAATTAGTCGATAATTTATGTTGCGAGAAATTTATACTCATCTCTTTGTATTTTTTGGAAAGTTTATTAAGAATTCTTGGCATAAGAATAGCCAGTAAGAATAAAAATGAAAATAATAAAAAAATTCAGAAAATTACAAAGAAATTTACAGAATCCTTATTCGATAAAAATAACAGCTCTTTTACGTGACTGACGCTTGGATAATGATATGCGTCACAGTAAGCAACTCCCACTTCCATTTATCTTTTCGTATATAAGAAGCTATTATCGGGGCATCGTTGGCCAGAAACTGGTCTCTCAATCACGACAGATTTTGGAGAATCAAAATATATACATATAACTTGTAATAATGGCAACGGCGAAATTCAAGGACACATCTCCCTACGTCAAACCGAAGCCTTCGCCACCTGAGGATGATTACCTGTATAAGAAGTGAGTAATTAGTTCAATATCATTACACAATATAAATTCGCATCGGAGTGATATGCATTGTAAAATAAATATTATACTTGATTGACGGAAGTTATCCTTAACTTATTGAAGAACATTTACCTTTATATTCCTAAAATTTTATTTCTATTCTTAATTTAAAATCGACATGAGAAATGTCTACGTGCAACAAAATTCATATAGGCTTTAAATGAACAAATTTTTAATTAATTTTATAAATGACTTTTATGGTAGGTAGAAAATTACTGCAGTTTTTCACTTTAGACTTTCCAGAAATTTCAATTATATTTCTTCAAGATTTCAAGTTTCTTTACTTCCAATCTTCTTTTACTAACGACTCTTCTGTTAATAGTAAAACTTCTATATAGATTAATAATATATTAAAAGTAAATTAAACCGAGATTAATATTTATAATTTCAAATTAATTTACTTTTTTATCTCTTTTTAATCTCTCTTTCTAATTTAAAAAATAGAAAAAGATAAAGAGTAAATTAAATTATTAAATCTTTTAAGAGATTAAAATTATTCGATATTGGTAGAAGTGATTAGACATTAAAGAAATATCTTTTGTAGATATTTAGAACACTTAACCCTGAAAACGGAGAAGGAACCGATAGTTAAAGTGGCTTTGTTCGGCGTGGGTCATGCCGGGACGATACATTTAAAGACTATGATTTCTAGTAGACGTGTCCAAATTTTATACATTGTTGAGATGATGTCGAGAGTAAATGGCAAAGTATTCAAAAATATTGGCATCTGGACAACGTTACCTTTCTAAGTAGCAAGCAGTGTGACAAAGTATTCAAAGATTCCAAGTAAGTAACTATATCAATTAAAAAAGTACTGTCAAATAATCAAATTAAATAAAGTTAAATTAAAATTAAAAATTAAGTACCTGTTATAATATAGACTTATATGTGTGTAATATAATTGATATATTATAAATTATATTTACACGAACTACACAATTTCTGTATCTAGACAATATAAATCTGTAATACAAATGTATCTGTACAATCAAACAAGAAATGTTCACTTTTCATGATTTGTAAAGTGTCGACGCGATTTTCGTGACAACGCCGACTATCACACATAAAGATATAGTTATTAAAGCTCTGCAAGCAAAGAAGGCAGTCTTCTGTGAGAAACCCATAGCAGAGGATCGTCCAAGCACCGTCAAATGCTACGAGATGGCCAAAAAAGTCGGCAAGCCACTATTTACCGCGTTCAATCGGCGATTTGATCCGAGTTATTGGAATTTGAAAGAACGAGTTCACAAAGGGGAGGTCGGACATGTCCACATGATTAAAAAAGTCGCTCATGACTCTCCTTTGCTCTCTCTAGAGTATTTGAAAGTATCTGGCGGTATCTTCTACGATTGCCTGGTCCACGATATCGACTTGATTGTTTGGGTTCTCGGAGAATACCCAGATAAGGTACGATTTTTACACGTATTATATGCAATGTACACTAAGAAAAATAACTTAATTTTAATAAATATTTGTTTGAATAATCCTAAGCAAATATTTACTACATGTAAACATATCCCTAGTAAAAAAAGTTGATAGAGAACGATAGAAAAATGGTATTGTTTTAAATCTGGTTTATGAATTCATTAGTTTGAATCTTATAACAATCTTATACAAATCTTATAGAATTCAATAAAATACAATAGGATTAGTATCCGAATAATCGTGATGTTCGCGAAGTCAGTGATATAATTTTATAGAAAACGATATAAATTGACAAAAATCCATCGTTGTATATTCTCAATCGTTCTCTATCAATTTCTTTACCAGGGATATTTATTTGACGTAAAACCATTAATTTCATTATTAATTTCATTCATATTTATTAATTTTTAATTAAGTACTGTGATCAAATGTTTACTTAGTACTATTCAAAGAAATATATATTAAGATTTAGTAATTTTTTTTCAGTGTACAGAAAATGTGTGTATCTGTTAATATCTTAGGAATGCAGTTGTTATCTTAAAAAAGCGGATTTTTATAATTATTTCGAAGAACTAAAAATTACACAAATCGTATCTAAAAAAAAAGTAATATAAAATATGAATTACAGGTTTCGGTCCTAGCTCATGCAAATATCCCAGAAATTAAAGCCATTGGAGACTTCGACACGGTTGCAGTGAACTTCCATTTTCCTTCAGGAACACTTGGCATGATCGATTTATCGCGCAACAGCCCATACGGATATGATCAACGACTGGAAGTCTTCGGTCCGAAGGGTATGTTGCAAGCCGACGACAGACAGTTTCATTCTGTTCATGCATATAACGAACTACAAGGAATTACCACCGCCCCGATCTGGTACTCATGGCCTAGTCGTTTTATGAACGCCTACATAAGAGAATTTGATCACTTCCTCGATGTAGTACATGGTAAGGTTGAATCGGAGGTCAAATCGAAAGACATTCTAGCGGTGAGTAAAATCGCTACGGCCTGTGAAGAATCCGCTCGCTTGGGGAAAGTCGTGGAACTCATATGGACAAAAGACGAGTTGGGGGATAACTTATGAGGAAACAGCCAAATTTGAGTAAAACTACAACAAAACTATTATTACATCCGTATAATATTATTTTCTTTGATGTCATTCTTATAAATTATATATATATTAATTATAT